ATAATCAAATAACATGATCACTTTTTCACGTGAGAGGATCCAAATTTTACACCAATATATAAGGTGCATGCTCAACCACTAACATTAAAGGAAGGAAACACAACAACACTTAATTTGATTCCTTTTTGTGCATTCTGTTAGGTATCTTTTTTGGGAATAAAACTTCGGTGCCCCCGTCGCACTGAAGTTCAATGCAACTTTCATTCATTTATTCTGAAATACGTACATGGATTTGTGCAAATTTCTAGGATGCAAGGATTTACGTACGTATCCTAAAATAAATAAACGAGCAAGTACCGAAGATCTTTCCTCTTTTTGGATTCTAAAGAACCAGTGATATTACTATAGGAGTAGATATGTCTTATATTTACACCTTTGTACCATGATGCGTGACTTACATTCAAAGGGAAATCAATAGACAGAGATTGTTTCTAGCACGCCGTACTATACTGGGCCACACAAAAAATAAAATGGCTATGCACTCCATGCTTAGAATGGGGTGTGCAAAAATTGACAAGAATGATATTTACAATTCAAAGTTTGTTACTTTTATATTGAAATAATAAAAGTATGTACACACTTTTTTATCCTTTTTTTTTTAAAATAAAACAAGTAAGATATATAAAGCAATGCAAAGATTTTGAACTGAAACTTATTATTTTTTCGAATTAATAAATGTTTACCCAACAGAAGAAAAAGAACAAAAATAAAGTAATATGCTTGCTAGACCCACATTGAGGGTGTCAATGTACTGGTAGGAGGCATAATTAAGAGCATAAAGGTGGAAGGTTATCTACTCACAGATAGATTTTAAAAATAAAAATAAAAATGTGGATGCTTTTTTCTAGTTTCTCACTCTACACACATGAATTTAACACATTGCAAATACAAAACCAATTCCCTGCACGCACGCTATTAGTGCGTTTTTGGGCCTAACCATTTTGACTTTATCCCCTTGGTCATATATAAAGGACCACACATGCTTAGTGTATGAAGTTTTCTTTAACTTCTTAAATTAGATTAAATAAATTTTTACAAAAAATTTTATAATTAAAAAAAAATTATAATGAAAAAAAATATCAAAAGCCAAAAATTCATAGGAGGAGTTTTTTTTAGGCTTTTTAAACCTTTTACCCTTCATTAATTAATTAATAACTATTTTATCCCTTATTTAAAACTATCCAACAATCTGTCTCTTTTTAATCAATTAACTTGGATATTTAATAGATTAAATGGTCAAAACAGGCAAAAAATGGTTGACTCGAGATTTAATCGATTAGATCTCCCTCTTTAATCGATTAACTTGAATATTTAATCGATTAAAACTTATATTTAATCGATTAAATATCCCAAATGAGCGTGAAAGCATTGATTGAATGAGACAAACAAGAAAAACTCGTTGGTTCATGCATAGCGAGAACCAATCTTGATTCATTAACGCATTTGAGTTGTTCCTGAATCCAAATTTTCACATAATGCTCGCCAAGTGACCTTTGGCTCCCAACTCAGACCTGTCCCTAGTTTAAGAACATCCCGAACTATGATTGGTTCACCTTTAATCCAATGCTATTGGAAGAGAAATAGCCCTTCTTCTGACAAGTCATTTGACAGTGGACAATATATGTTATTGTCATTCGTGCCATCTCTAAAAGCAGCTCTTATCATAGATTTGTTGCTTAATATTACTTTTTTCTGAAGAGTTTTGTGCTTAATTATGCAAAAATCCTTCAGCATATCACGAGTTTTGGCTTCCAGCTTAGAAATCCATCCATTTTGAAGTATGGACTTCAGCTCCAATACAGAGTCATCACAACCCCTCATTTCTTTTGGAGCACATCTAATACTTCCATCATTGTTAGCATTCCAATCAGCATATATCTCAATAGTACCCACCGAAGTCCCTAAATCACAATATACTGGTTAAGGATGACAACCATGCATGTACTCACTGCCCTTATTAACATATTCAAACTTCAGTTCAGGCCTGAGTGAAATACTTCCATTTCGTATTTCTTCACAGCAAGTAAGACAGATTTCAAACGAACACTTGAGGCAGTCAAAACTTAATCATTATAGTAAACTAAACCTTAATCATCCCCTTTGAACGTAGCGAGTTTTTCTTGTTTGTCTCATTCAATCAATACTTTCACGTTCATTTGAAATATTTAATCGATTAAATATTCAAGTTAATTGATTAAAGAGGGAGATTTAATCAATTAAATCTCGAGTCAATCATTTTTGCTTATTTTGACTATTTAATTAATCGATTAAAGAGAGACAAGTTGATAGATAGTTCTGGATAAGGAGTAAAATAATTATTAATTAATTAATGAGGGACAAAAGGGTCAAAAAAACCATTTTTTTTAAGTTGTATCAATTTTTGTTTGAAATATGTGTTTTTTTTAAATGAATAACTTTAAGATAAATTTTTATATAATCATTAAATAACTTGTAGCTTTATTTTTTCTAAACTTTTTTTTTTTTAGCTTCAACTTAAAAATAATTTTAGCTTAAAAAGAAAAAGATTCCAGGCTCTTAATATTCTTACGTAACTCTTAATTTAACGGTGGACCACAAACTACACATGCAGGTGTAAGTATATCTGCTGTACAAAAACATTCAACTGATACTTATTATACTCAGATATAGAATTTTTTTTTTTTTTTTTTTGTAACCTCAAATATTATAGATACTTAAATTAGCAATTGTAACTATTTGTGAATCTGATGGCTTTGTATTTACTCCTATCAAAATCAATCTCAAAATATACTTATTCTTGTGAAAAGCATTTGGCCATGTGGGAACTAGTCGTTCTTCTCCAATTTCACCATAAACACAGTAGGAGATCTCGATATAAAATCATTTAAACAATTAGTAATAGACTCTATTACCTTTCTCTCTCACCTCCCCCATAGCTTTTTATCTCTGTTTTCACAAGTGGGAGACTGGAGGTATTATATAATTATTGAAGGAGAAGGTTATATTTACAAATTTTTTGTTTACAAACTACACTAAGTATGATCGGTCATACTTCAATCAAGAGTATATGACCGATCATACTTAGTGTAATTTGTAAAAGTATTCTCTCCCATTATTTAAATGTAAATCCTTATACTATTTGAATTTTTTTAATAAAATCTGTAATTAGATTCCTAAGGTTTCAAAAGATTCTAATTGAGCCCCTAATATTAAAGAGCCTTGGAAATTTATACCAATTCTCCAATGATATAGATCCATTTATGATGAAATGGTTTTCACAACTTTTTGAATCATTATATAATGGGATCTTTAATTTAGCCTACACTTAAACTATAAAGATACTGTAATAACAGGAGTCCAATTAAAAAGATTTAAAAATATAGAAACTTAGTTACAAATTTTTTAAAATATAAGGAGACTTATAGATTAATTCAACCTTGTTTAAATCATTGCGTTGATAAAAATCAATGTCCTTCTAATCTACTGGCTAAGAAAGGAATATACTCATTGTCCACCCTTTTCATTCATCCCCTTACTATTTTTTTTATGGTAAAAACATTTTTCATGTTACATAAACAGTGTTTTTTCATATTATGACCCTTTAATTTGTGTGTAAAACTTTTTTTTTTAGTAAGTATGAAATCCACCATTAATTAAGTTATAACATGAGAAAATAATTCTCAACGAGAAAACAATCTATTTGCAGGGATTGTTGTTTTCTCATTTATGCTTCTAGGGCTTTGTTTGGCAAAGAGAAAATAAGAAGGGATAATAGAGGGTAAATAGAAACTAGTAAAGTTAACAATTCATGTATCAATTATCAAGTCAATAAGTTTTGACTCTGTAAAAATGAAGAGATACAAATTTATCAAGAAAGTACTATTAGAAGTGGGCTAGTGAGGTATTTAACTAATTTGTAAGATATTATAAATTCAAATTTGAATCCTTTCGTGTGAAAAAATAGTCATGTTATTTGATCACAACTACTCATTTAAAAATTATATATTTTTCTCTCTTATTTTATCATCAATAAATTATTATTATCAAATAACATAATCATGATATTTTTTTTATGTGAGAAGATCCAAATTTTTTAAATTCAAACATACATTCCATGATTGATAAGAGAGATAATAGCAATCAAAACTTTGATAAGAGGGAGAATTCAGAAACATAATAAGATGACAACAAAAATACAACATTTGCCGCGGATCTCGCCAGAATCTACTGACACTTTTTTGGCCAACCAAAACAACTATTGGTACATGTGCTGCCCACAACTTTCAACGCAGATGTACCCACGGTTTCGTTTGGTTAGGCCAGCAATTAAGTTGCTTTTCACTAATCTTGTTACCGCTGATTACTCAACAAAGTTTAAGAGAACATGTGGAATCTCAAAACTCTATACTCCACGAGACCTGGTTTGGAACATAATGCATGCACCTAATGATATTGGAACATTCATGTGATGATAGTGCGAACTGCCAACACTGACCACATCATGTCCATGCCACTGACACATTATTTTCTAATCATTCAAGGCAAAACTCGATAGACAAAAAGCAATGAATACCCAAATAAAAAAAAAAAAAAAAAAGTTAAATAAGCTATTCTAGTTTTGAATAATTGATAAATAATTAATTCCAAAACAGGATAGTGTTGGCTAGCATAAAATAATATTTCCATTCTTCTAGAAAAAAGTTATCCGCAATTATATATAATTATAATGATAAAATTAATTTTTTTTCTCTCCGTCACATCAATCAATAATATCTAAGAAAAAAAAAAAAATTAATATTATAATTATGTACTATCAACAATATATAATTATAATAAATTGCTACATATAACTTTTTCTTGCAAAGACATCAGACGATAATTTCCCATCAAATAAACAAGCGATAACAAAGGATTTTGTTTTATGTTTGGATTCGAGAAGCCAATTGGATACTTGAAGCGATAATAAATTATTATAACCTTTATTTGAGAAGAAAATAAACGTATTGTATTTATATGCGTAAGGTAAGGTTTCTTTACCTAAAGATCTACATTAGTACCCCAAACACTGTCGAACAATAAGAAGAAGCATTCACAGCCTTAAAGTTTTGCTTCATTGCACAAGAATATTAATAATAATAAAAAATAAAAACTAAAATGATGCTCACGAATTGTATCATCTTTGGAGCTGCTCAGGTTTTGGGTTAATAGTGACACCATTATGCATCCCATTATTATCAAGAGGTGCATTAACTCCCCACCTACCTTCAGACTCTGTGGGCTCAATGACCTTAATAGACCCATCTGACAGTCCAACTGCGAATTGATTAGGCTCCTGTGGATGTGCTGTTACAACAAGAGGGTATGCATTTTGGCTGCACAAATCATGTGAGAAAATTTCAGTCAATTATCATCAAAATGAAATAAAAGAAGCGAAGTGAACCAGAGCAGTGATAAAGCTATTCTTTCATGACTGAAAGGTCATGGGTTCGAATCCAGAAAACAGTCTCTTTGCAATTATGCAAGGGTAAGACTGCGTACAAGGATTACCTACACCCCACACTCACTAGTCGGGTTTAACGGGGAGTAGTTATCATCAAAATGAAATATTAAATAAACTACTAAAGCATATTTCAGCCAAAAACTCTCTTTATTAAGTATGCGTCCAAAAATGCAAAACTTCTAGTAACAAAAATAAATAAATAAATAAATATTTATCTCTAGTGGGGATTTTAGTAAAAGAAACCAAGTTATAAAACACATAAAAAGACCTGTTTGATGAGGACTGATGTCGGTATGCAGATGAAGTTATACGACATCTTAGTCTGAGGGTGTCAGCATCAAATATTCCGATATTTCCATCAGTGAAAGCAGCATAAACTAGTTGGCTATTGCAGGAATATGTTGCAGAGGATATGGAACCAGACAACCCATCTTGTGGCACCCACTATAAATCCAAACATAAACATGTTACTTATTCATTCCCCGGGAACTCAAAATATAGTGTAAGTTTAGATAATCTTTGTTGGGGAAAAAATGCTTTATAATATAGGTTTTTTCTTGGAACATTTTTTTCAGTTATTTCTTTAACTTATGAAAAAAGCACTAAGACTGCTTTTCTTTTAGAAAAATTATCTAATTATCATAAAAAAATTTAAATATGCTTTTAAATTTAAAAACCACTTATTCCTTAAAAAAAAAAAAACTATAAATGATAGAGGAGAAGGGGGAATAGCTACTTACCTGGTGAATCAACTCCATTTTGGAAGCATCATATATGGCTAGCTGCGTTTCATGGCATACCAGTAAGTTTACTTGATCATTGTGGAATTGCACTCTAGTATCACCAGCAGGTGCATTTCCAGTTGGCATTTGGATTGATAGTGATTTCTTCTTATCCCATGAGTCGATGCTCCAAAAGAAAAGCTACAAAATACCCAGAAATAAAGTCAAAGGTTTTCTTTCTTGTGATAAAATTATAAATTAAAAATGGATTTTGTAAAGATATATGAAATAGATAGAACATGAATCATAGTTAAAACCACAGACACAAGCACATAACACTGACATAATAACTAGAGTAATAAAATGACAATTGAAATTGTTGAAATTATTGGGAAAATATGGAAATGGGAAAAGAGAAAATATATTTAAGTAATAGGAGTATAGGACCTTATAGGCCTAAATAATTGTTATGTTGGGACTCGTGACAATATAAAATACTGACATAATACTCCCATTTATATTAATCTTCTGAGAACAAGTGTAGAACAACTAGTACAAACTCAACCAAATAACAAGTAAGCCAATATAACTAATACTCTAACCCTCCACCTCAATTTCGCAGCATAAATTTTACTGCAATGGGACCAAAGAAAATCCAGCAACTTTGACTGACAAGACCAGAAAGTTGTATATAGAAAACTCTGGTTCTAGTTATGATGGTTTAGTCTAAAATATCATTTCGTTTTTAGTTGCTGAATTTGATCAACAACCAAAATGTTGATAGGGAATGAAAAATCTGACAATTACGAGAATGGACAAGGGGAGGAAAATACCGAGGAGAGCTAACAATTCTAACGTAAAAAGAGAGGAAACGCTGAGGAGTTCCATGTTTTGGATTACACACAACATAATAGAATGACACATAGGTCATGGTGGGTGGTGGTACTAATGTTGTGATACCATGTTAAAAGTACAAGAAAAAGATGGAAAGGAGAAACCAGAATATATGTACGTGATAGGATTTTGAATAATTGTGATATCTAATATTCCGTTTTACTAAGTCAAACAACAGTTAACACAACTAATATTCTAACTTAAAACATACCTGAGCATCAGCACCTGATGAAACCAAGATATTCAGTTGAGTTGAAAAGGCTAAACCAGTAATGTGCTTCTGGTGACCCTTCAACTTAGATTTTACCTAACGGCGGAGAGGTCAAATCAATATATGATTCTTGAAATGATTAAAATTTTAGACTTTAAAGATCCTTAAATTAATTACCTCATCCACTCTAACATTGTAAATATGAATAGTTGAATCTTCCATTCCAATTGCAATGATGTTATTATCTTTAGGGTGAAACGCAAGGAAGGTTGAAGTCGGGGGAGGTGGCATAAAAGTTGCCATTACCTGAAACTCAGCAATAATTTTTCACAACTCAAATAATTAGATACATCCGGATAAAATCTACTATTGATGGCACACAATATATTAACATTTAAACTGTTACATTACCTTAAACGTCATCATGTTGAACAATGAAATTTTTCCTCCACAGGCGGACATAACATAGGAATCATTCTTCGAGAGTGCTATGCATGGAAGTGCTGCTTCGGAATTGTCTGGCACATCATTAGTCATGAGAAGACCACTATTCGGTTGCCAATGTTGTGGAACAGCACTCGCCGTGGCCTTTTAAACCGACACAAGAAAACTCAGAGATGTTAACATGAATATTTTTATTAGACATAACAACTACATGCATACTTATGTAATAGAAACATGGATATCAGAATATCCACACAGGCATGTTGTATTTATAAATCAACAGGTAAGTGTTTCCACATGTCTCTCAGCATACAATCACCTTTCCACTAGGATTCAGTTCATTACGACTCCATTTCCACAGCTTCTGAATCCCTTTTGAACCAAGAGCCAAAAGGCCACCCCCAGAATTTGTGTAAAGAAGACGAGCAACCTTGGTAAAAAGTACAGAATTTTATGATCATGAAATTATTGACATAAAATAGAAATATATTAATCAAGCATCCTAAACATAAAAGGAAAGGTTGCAGGGAATACCTTGTTAGTTGGACCCATACTATCTGGCATAGTAACTGTTCGACATTGAGCAGGATCAACTATTTCTCTCAATTCACAAGCTTTAGCTTTGTCAGATAAATTATCCAAACTTCTTTTTTTTTCTATGCTTCTAGCCATAGAATCAACTCCATTCTGGAATAATAAGAAAAAGATTCAATTGAATGCACAACTGTCAATAGACTAGAAGGTGCCTAGGCAAAACTGCTTCAGCACAAAACAATGAACACCTTAATATGCTTAATAAAAAAGGATGCATAATTTGTATGTTAGGTTCATGCTAATTTGTTCAATAAACAACAATGTTACAGATCCCAAAATAAATTTCAATTTCCATCTTTTGTGTTTATATCCTACGAGGATAGGTGCTGGCCGAGCAGGAGAGCTTCTGTCCACTTGTCCTACTTTATTGATGAGTAGATTGACATTTGCAACCATCGAAGAGCCAGGTACCTAATTCATTGGAGTTAAACAAATCAAAACTGGGACAGTAATAAAACCAGAAAAGGATATTTGGTAAGGAAGCAGATAGTGAAGATGATCAATTATGGAAGATAAAAAAACCTTCATCTCAATAGGTGCTTTAGATGCTTCATGAGACCGAGCTTCAATGGCCCTTAAGTATTTGATGCCATCGGTATTAGCAAGGACTTTAAAACCATTATCTGCTGTAGTAACAGCAAGCAGATTTCCTTCCTTATTGAACCTCAAGCGAGGGAGACTCTGACGCAAGGCATAAACCATGTCAAACAATGCTCTCAAAAATGCATCAAAAGATGGAAAGTACAGGGACTACTCACAGGAAGACCACCCTCAGCATCTGTACTAGTCAGCATATTGATATTATCCATATCCCAAAACTTAATCTGGTTATCTTCACCAGCAGCCAAAAAGCGACTCTTTGTTGTGTCAAATTGCACAATGCCAGCAAATTTCTTTCTAAACCCAGAATATGTTCTTTTTAGTGCTCCTTCACTTTCATTCCACTCAACTAGGAAAGAATCGCCCTCTTTACTTGTCCCACAAGAGAACAATCTAAAATACGAAACAGAAGTTTCAACTCATAATATAACTTGAAGGAAAAAAATCCAAAGAATTAAAAAAGTATAAGATTTACTGGATATAGTACCAGCATTATTCTTCATTTCTTACCTACTTCCATCAGCGCTATACAGCATTGTGGTGCACCACTGTCCAGGAGCATCATAGTCCACCCTGGCGCCCAAGTTATCATATACCCAGGCCTTGATTTTCCCATCAACAGCAGTTGAAAATATAAACTGCATAAATATGATGTCAAAACTATCATTAGTCAAACATTCACTGCAACACGCTTTACAAGAAAGCAATAGCAATATTTTCTTTATTCGTGTTTATCTGGCATATTTCCAGAATTAACAACACATGGATCAAGATCAGAGTATAGCTGTGCAAAATCATATATAAGTATGGACAGGACAGATGTTGGTGCCCACTGCCCAGAAAATTAGTTTGCATTACATAATGCAGTAGTATGGTCAAATCTATTCTAATCCTTAATTTTTAAGATTCTTAGTTTTTTCCTGTCCCAAAAAAATATTTAAATCACTCAAATTCCTTTTGGTTTCATACCATAAAATTGAAAATCCAAATAATCATATACTGATTAGCAGCTCGTAGCAAACAAAAAATTCAACACTACTTGAGGAGAATGCCACAAAATCCAATAATAAAAAGCCCACTGTGTGAGGGAGGGGGTGTTAGGAGACTTTTACCGGGGTATTTTCCTTCTGGTGAGGACAAACAGAATAAACAGGTGCTCCATGACCTTCAAAGTTAAAGAGCCTCTGCCCAGTCAAATCCCATACCTGTAACACTTCCAAATGTCAATAATTAAGGATACATTCATCTGGCTAAAAGCTACTACAGATCGGAAACTTCTGTCACCTTTATTAACTTATCATCTCCACAAGTTATAATGCATAGCTGTTTGTTTGGATAAGAAAATGCCAAGTCATTAACACCACCAACATGAGCATCAATCTGTAATGAAACAAAGACATTAGTCAGGAATTACAAAAAACTTGTATTAGATTCATATCAGAAATTGATCTGAACATGCCTCCAAACACTGCTGTAGGTCACTAGGCACTTGATAGGCATATAAGTGAATCAAATGTTTTGTAAAAGCAACCCCTGAAAAGAAGGGAAAATATTATAAACAAGTAATAATGCAACAAACTAGAACCAAGTTTCTTTACAGCACTCACCAATAAAATTCCCATCTGGACTCCATGATATTCGACTGATGGATATAGAAGAGTCTTTCCCAATTGCAGCCTGAAAAGAGTCTCATTTACTAAACTCCAGCATATCATATAAGAAAATTCTGGCACTTATCATATATAAAAACAAATTTAATTGGTAAGAGACAATTGGATGACAAGTGCACTGACAAACAATTTTCCAAAGTCCATTAAGGCAAGGGTAGAACTTGTGCTAGTGGAAAAGGACTAACTAAACTCCAAAATTGGGCAGATTTTGTGCAGCCACTGAACACTAATATTTGGTCTATGAATTCATAATCTGCCCATGCCCCATACTAAAAATTTCCCTGTGTATGCTTTCCTGTTTCAAATTCTTAATATCATTAAGCTACTTCCATACTTTCTAGAAGTATTGTGACATTTTTATTTCCATTACATGATTCAAAAAAAGTCCATATATTAATTCCATTTTCATAGTATTTTTTTTTTAAAGAATAATTTGGTACATACTACATCAATAAATGCTTTAGCTCTCTTCTGATAGTACTAAATTTGTCATATTTAACTCATCCAGGGGACTTAAGTGGAAGCTTTTTATACTTGTAAGTTATAACAAGTCCTGATTTAGTTCTCACCCAAAACGGGGGGAAAAAAAACCAAGAAGAAGAAAAAATTGCATCCTAGCTCTCAGAAATTGAAGAAGATGGGATATTATTCTCTATTTCATAATACACCAACAGGTTAGCTATGTACAAAGTTAGTAGAAAAGTAAGTTAACGAAGTCCCACGATGTGTGCGATATCCTAACTACCTATAAAATACAATTAAATATGCCTAATACTAGGGAAGCAATCCGATACGGAATATTTCCTAACATAGATAGCAAATCACAGTTTTTCACATTAGCATTAACCCTTATCCCACAGTATTAAAGTGCATCCTCCCTATGCTAATTGCCTAAAGGTTTTTACTGCAAAACGCAAGGCTACTATAGACAACCAAATTATTTTCTGTTAAGAGTATTCTTTGGACAAACATCCATGATCCATCTGTTCAAAATTGTGCATTTGAATTATGCAATATAAACCTGACATAAGACAGAACAAGCAGAAATATTCCATATTTTGAAAGGCTTTGATATCAGCCTCTCTCTCAGTCCTGCTTCCCAAAGTGAAATGTCGCCATTTGCACAACCAACTGTTTCAGAAATGATTTTTCGGTCAGTATAAGACTGAACTTCTTTATAATACAAGACATGCAATGTGTTTCAACCTACCAGCAAGTAAAGAATGAAGGGAGGGATGAAAATCCATGGTTGTCACTGTTGGTCCCTGATGTAACGTACAAACAACAGTCCTAGGAAGGTCATCAGGTGACCAAGAGGCTTGTTGAGGTGGAGCAGGATATGTGACCTGCATAGATTGTAAAGAGTTGCCATCATAGTGATTGCAATTCAAGAGCATGGAAAATAAAATATGCCAAACTACTTTGAAAGTACCTCGTCAACAGATTGTGCAGATCGCAACCGTTTCATTAGTTGCTCATGATCGTTATTTTGATAATCCATCATTCCAAAAGCATTAGGTGTTCTTGGATGCTTCAAATTGGAGACTGCGAGAAATTGAATAACAAGTGAACTTGACAATGGAGGCGGCAAACACAAAAGAATCCCAAGAATTAATTGTCCCAACATATAATTGACAATAGAAATATTATTCCAGTTCTTCAGCTATTATGCAGGACAATTGAGAAGATAAAAATTGAAAAAAAGAAAAAGAAAAAAAAGTTATATCCACACAAGTCTCAGCATAAAATGAAGCAGCAACTTTCTAGGGGGAAAATATTATCCACACAGAATAAATAAATTATCGCGTAAGAAATTGGTCGAACAGAGTGTATATGTACTTATGTTATTTGATGCTGAACGAACCATGACAGGTGGATAATGTCTAACAAACATATATGTGAAGGATATAACAGTAAACTCCCCAAGCAAAAAAACCTCCCATTCTATCCACTGCCAAACCAAAAAAAAAAATATGTCCTTATTATTATTATTTTTTGGCATTTGTTTATTTTAATAAACTTGGCAATAATATACCAACAGAAATATAGAATATGTGAATTTGTTTATTTTAATAAACATGGCAATAGTATATTTGAATATTGACTATTCTCAAAGCTGTCCTTATATGGTTGTTTTGCCCCTGAAAGAGAACCAGATATGACAAACTGACCAAGCTATACCTTGATTTGGGGGAACAGGCAATGATGAAGCAGCAACCACAGGTGATTGAGCAGATGTGGAGGGATTTACATTCACCATCCATCCTGCTAAAGCATTAACATTAGCAGCTGCTGGGGCTGGTGCTGGTGTAAATGGCTGCACAAAATTAAGTAAGAGAAAATTAAACATACCAATCTAAAAGGATTAGATAATTAACAATGTCAGCACTGAACAATCAAAACAACTAGAGAATAAGGTCATACTCCACCATGTGCTCCTAGTGGAGCATAAAATGAAGGCTTTGCAACAGCTGCGATAGGAAGGGTGACAGGAGTAGGTGTGCGAGCGCCATTTGCAGGTGAACAAGCATGGTCATTAAATAAAGTTTTGATGTCTGGATTTGGCCTTGGATTCTCACACAGCTGATGCTGCCAATTCAAACTGGATAGAAAATATTGACAAGACTTAACCAAGAAGAACATGATTAATGAAGTTACAAATAACAAGAGATGTCATCACCGGACGAAGAATATTAACCTCATTAACATACAACAGAATTAAAGCAGTGTGCGAATGGAATAATCACATTTTTCAAGCCCAATACATGTAGAAGTTGCATACACCTATATTACCTTTGATTAATCAGGGTTCGTAGCCGTGATGCCTTCAAGGAAGGAAATATAAGCTTATCTCGAAAGAGGGGATTTGCTTCAATTAATTTCTTAAGCTCTACCAGCATTATGGTTCGCGCAGATTTAGTATCACCATACTTTGATAGCTGTTCATTTTCCCTGCATTTAATCAAAATCCATATTTTAAATTCAACCAAATTTTAACATCTCTCCAGTCCCTAGTCAACAACATCATATAAAAAATAGAAAGCAAACATTTACCTGAAGTTGTCAAGGGTTAGAAGATGTGTTATTTCTTTGTACAAATCTTCGTTAAATGTGGAAAAAACTTTCAAATCATTCAGCAGAATTTCAACAGCCTTCACTTTGTCTTGACTGAGCACACAAACGATATAATTTAAGCATGGGAAGAGGGAAAAATAAACTGAACCTGAATAGTCAAATATACATATTAAGGGGGGAAAACTTGAATAAAAGCATAAAGGGGATAACTAGCAACCTAGTGTTGAAGACACAAGAAGTAATTAAGGAGGAATAAAAAACCTGTCCAAGGCTTCAAGATACTTCTGCTTCCTAATCTCAAAGAATATTTTCATGGAGTATCTATTGTCATCGACTTTGGTAAAGCCAGAGAGGTACTTCTCAACCTCATCCCACTCTCCAGCCATGGTTTTCTCTTCAAAATACTTGACATTGAAGAAGAAACCCGATTCTTGCTCCAGCCTAAACCCCAATACAACACAAAACAAAACAGAACAAGCACATTTCCAATTTTAATTTACCATATCAGTTACTTACCATATACAAACAAGGAAATCAATGAGTAAAAAAATTATATGTATATCAAAAAAAAAAAAAAAAAAGGCCTTTACTTGTGAACAGCATCTTTGAATTTCTCTTCCTCGAGAAATTGAAGAATGAGGAACACCAATTCCCTGCTCAAAGATGACATTTTTGCCCTCCCAGTTGTGGAATCAGAAGACCCAGCAAGAGAAAAACGACGAGTCTTGGAATTAGGGTTGGGAATTGAGCAAGAAGAGATAAATTAGCCGTTGTTGTTGGTCAGAGGTTTTCAAAACACAAAGTTGAAATCTTTTTGCTGGTGTTTCATTCTTATGCAATGGATTAGCAATACGACAGCGTTTTTCTGCTCGGGGGTGGACAAAACGCAGTGGTTGGAGTGGGTTTCTAGGGTTGTTACAGGGTGATTGTTAGAAAAGAACAGTGGAAGAAGGGAAAAAGAAAAAAGCTTTCAGAGGACGAGAGAGAGAACAAAAAGAAAACGGAAAGAGAGAAAGAAAAGTAGGACTTAGGTCTCTTTTTTCGATGCGTTCCGCAGTTGTTTTTGTTTTGCAGTTATTCACACCCACTTATCAGTGATACAACATCGTACTTATATGAGTATGTGATAAGTATATTGGATTATTGCTTATGAATTAGGAAAGAGGGACACGTGGGTTGAACCTTTTTATGCAGCGAGTCAGCAATCCACGTCATGTATTTCTTTTCACTCCTTTTTCAAATTATTTATTTGACTTCATCACCTGCTTTCGAAATAATCGATTTTTCAAAGTGAAAGAAAATAAATATTTATATACTGCAATTAATGTGACACATATTAGATAACACTGAATCAAAGATTTTGTTTTTTTACTGTTTTTAAGAGTTTCTCTTTGGTTTATATATAAATTAATAAATAAAAATGATTTGCTAACTTTTATCCAGTCATTATTATAATAAATTTTAGATTGTTATATTTAGGGGCAAAATCAATTGGTACACACACATATATTAGGGGAAAGTACTTCTTATGTGACTGCAGAAGAGAAAACTTGCAGCAACACAGGATACGCGTCTGAATCCTGATTTGTTTTGTTTTGATAGAATCTGCACGTGTATCCTAGGATCCGCACGTGTATCTTAGTGTTAAAAATTTGCTGCAACTTTTCTCATTAGCAGTCACATTTTCTCATGTGACTGCTGATGAGAAAAGTTGCAGCAAATTTTTAACACTAGGATACACGTGCGGATCCTAGGATACACGTGCGGATTCTATCAAAACAAAAAAAACCAGGATTCGGACGCGTATCCTGTGTTGCTGCAAGTTTTCCCTTCTGCAGTCACATAAGAAGTACTTTCCCCATATATATATATATATATATATATATATATATATATATATATATATATATTCCATTCAATTTTAGGTTATGTTCTTAATCTATTCTATGGGTCCCGTGATGTTTAGAAGATAAGAGATTAACATACTGATAATTTAAATATTAAAATTAAGAGTTTTAATCCTATCTAAAGTCTCATGCCTTTAGCTAAAATCTTTTTATAAATAAAGACTAGGCATTATGGGTACATACTACATACTCTATTTTTCTTTTTTATTATTGTACACACATCATTTTTTATGTGTATATGATTTGTCGCTCATTGCAATTATCATTTTTATAGACTTTGCTAACTTATAGATTCAACATTAATCTCGATCAACTCATATCGAATGATTAATAATTTATTTTATTTTAAGAGAGTGTGTTAGTGATAATAAGTGAGAGGCTAAAGAGATAAAGATAGTATCACCTATTCTACATTCAAAGGATAAGTGATAAGACCTTTTATACTATCTTTTAATAGTCTCATTCTAAGGAATATTATATACCTTCGATAAGGGATAATTGTTACGGTACATATATTTCACGCCTTTGACAATCCTCCCCAATCGATAATATTTATATCAAATTATCTTAATTTATTAATCACATAAATCATTAGATGTGGATGAAATCTACAATAAAAATAAAAAATATAACTTATAATACTTATAATATGCGATTTATCGTGAATCTTATGATGCAAATTATAAGGGATAAGATATTATGTCTTTTTTATGTTTATTTGACATACTCATCTTTAACAATGTTATATTATAATCTCAATTAATTAAATTTTATTCTTTATCTATCCTCTTAAGATTATGATCTAATAATAATGACGATGAGTAGGTAAATATGCGTGAAAAAAGATATTCATTCGATTCCAACCTTTAATGCTGATAAAAAAGATTAATAATAGAAAAAAAATTATTTTAAATGATTTAACAAGTTGTGTGATAGCATCACACGAACAGAGAGTGAAATAGATGGAAGTAGACGTTGACGATGTTTACCTGTTTGGACAGAAGTTTTCTCGAAACTTAAAGACGTTGCCGTCCCGTCCTGAATTCCCCAATTTGCTTACGGGTTTGACCATAACACAGGCCTACGCTTACCTCGTTCTGACATTTTGTCGCTACATGATATGCTTAACTCTGAGTCTCTGACTATATTTATTTCTCTTTCCTTGCAATTAAAAAAAAAAAAAAAGAGAAAAATATGTATATTAGGAAAAGTTTTAATTTCTAGGAATCAACTTTTGAACGCCTCGAACCACGGAATAATTTATGATGAAAATGAATTTTTTATAAAGTAAATTATTACAAATATATATTTTAAGATTTTTAATGATTTAAGTTGATGATATATTTTAAAGTATTTTATTTATTTACTTTATAAATAAACTTGTTACACAACAGCATGTTAATACGTTAAAAATGCTTATTTCTTTTTTAATAAAAAAATTTAAGAGGCCGAATTAGACACTGATATCCCATTAGGAACAGAGAAAATCTCGAATTATTTTGACAATTTTCAGAAGGAATTATATATCATACACCATTAAAGTTCTTACGTTGGCTAGCGGAATTTAAATCCACATTATTATGGGATATGAACCAAACTCTTAACTAACTGTATCAACCTTTTATTGGCCTAACACTTATTTTTTAATTAATATTTTAAAGAGAATTATTAAAGTGTACCCCTTTATATTTTTAAAAGCACAAATATTAGTTACAACGTTACATGTTACAAATATTAAAGTGTTCCCTTAGATTTTGTTTGAGAGTTTGGAGGAAAAGAGGATGAAGATCGAAAAGAAATCCAATGGGGAGAGCAGAAGAAAGAGAAGGAAAATGAAGGATATTTTCTTCCCTTGTTTAGGAGTTAAAAAAATAATAAGGATATTTCTTTAACAATTAATATAGTTATTATACTTTATAAATTAAATTAAATTTAAAATTTCTAAAAAAAAGTATTTATGTAATTTTTATATTTAAAAGAAGATTCTCCCACTAAAAAATTATTTTCTCTCTCTAAAATGTTCTATTTCACTTTATATATATGTGATTTATATTTTTTTTGAGATCTAATTTTTTTTCTCTCTCTCTAATTAATGGGAGAAACAACAAAAAATTTAAGTACTTCAATCAACTTGCATTCGACTTATATTTCTTCAAACCCCATTAACATCCCCAAATCTGTGTGTTAAGAAATGCTTGTGTATAGTCGGATTATTAGAACCCCTAGCAGTAAAATCGTACATATCTATAAATCAGAACTGAATTTTATGTGAATTGACAAGAATCCTAAAATTTTGGGAAAATCTTTTCAAATTCAATAGATTCATTGAAGGAAAAGGAAAACAACGGACAAACAATCAATTGTTCAATAAGGTTTAAATCCAGTAATCAACTATAATTTTTACTATTTTAACTTAGTCATATCTATAGAGGAATTTTGAGCCAATGCTTCTTCATCAATGATCCCCTCATCAATGTTATTACCATCAACGTATTGTCAGATTCATAATTAGAGGACAAAGCTGTGAAATGTACATCCTCAGCACTCGTTTTATGATTAAACATGGAGCAAAGAACAGTAAAGACATCATAAATAAAAGCTTCAGATCTGAATTATACACATAAATTACTATATGTAGATTACGCATCACCCTAAAAAGCTCTATTTTTACTCTTTTAAGTATAAACTAAAAACATAACAAGATATTCATGCACCACAACAATCCTTGAATATTATACAAAACATAAACAAGCATTACTTTCTAGATAGAATAAAGAACTTATGCAAGTATACTATATATGTATCTCCATCAGCATTTACAAGTTGCGACCCCCAAGCTGACCGAAACAGGATAAAAGCAAGCACATTTATAGGAATAGTAGGCATTATCAAATCAAATGACATCCTAAAAGTAAAAACAACCTCAACAGCCCAACGTAACTTGTATATGAGAACATTCAAATATTATTACACATACATGACCTAGGATACACCAATTGCATAAACTCCATTTGATGTTAAGAGTCAAAACCTTCCTACTCAAAATCCACAAATTGAAAAGAAATTCTACGATGATAACATGAAATATCATACAACTTAAAAGGACAATTGATGAAATCATCAAAATATTTATCATATAGTTATTAGATTTATCATAAAGTTATGAGATTTGTTATTAAATTGTATCCACCTTCCTTTATGACTGGCTATAACCATTTTACAACTTCAGCAATTACCTCCAAGGACCAAGTACCATCCCAAGTAGCCACTCCTCGAGTTAGTCTAGAGGACAACCAATCACTGCTCTAATTCTCTCATGATTATCGAGAAGATAAAGATATGCACGTGTTAACACTTGATTCTCAATCTTTAAATCCTCCAAAAGGTTCCAAATTTTAGCTTCAGGAATTGGAAGTTTTTACTAAACTTTCTCATAAATAACGGTACTCTCTCTAAGAGCTCCAACAATATCTTGAAGTGCCACTTTTATCCATTCAGCTTCGTCATTCTTTGACCTTTTAGCCCTTTAGATTTAACCTCTTGACTGTGAGTATCTTGTACTTCAGGTTATGTAACTTCATTTTCATTGCCAACCTCTTGAGCACTCTTGAAGGTCAACTCGATGGTTTCTATGGACTCAGATTCTCCAGGCAATGACCTTTTGTTTCTAATATCTTTGGCAATCTCAGCATGTTGTCCAATAGCTTTATCTCCTCTACACACGATCATCAGCTTGTCATAATTATGAATAGACTTTTCCATCCACTCTTTTGCTTCAAGCTTAGCCTATAAAATAATTATTATTGAACAAATATTATTAAGCTAAAACATGAAAGGGATGAAAACAAGAAAAGTTCATAATATACCTCAATTAGCTTTTGCCAAACTTCAAGCTCAGCGCACCATTGTTTTGTAATTGGGTCCCAAGGAAACCCACTCAAGCCATTCTTGAACAAGTCATAACACTTGAAAAAATGTCTTTTTACTAATTTCCAATGACTTTTCATCGTTTCTTTCTCAAACGGGCGTCCATATTTCTGTTGCAACTCCTTTATGATGGTTTCATAAGTCTTAGAAGTGAAGAAGCCACTAACTTTATTTTCATCATTATGTTGATGCAAAAAAGCATCAACAAAAGCATCATCCATCTCTTGTATCCATGTCTCTCGTTTAGTCTCCTCCAACTCTGACATGATTCCTAAATAAAATTTCAACAGTATAACAATTGAACATTAAGTAGATGCAAAATTCAGCATTAAGTAGAATTAGTGGCTCACAATCACAAAATTGATAATAGTAGAACAACATAAAAAGGGTAACAGATCTATTATGCATTTAAACAACATAAATTAAGCACTTTGCATAAAATACACCACAATTACGAAACATCAATTCATTAAGTCAAAAAATACATAATAACCCTAAACATAAGAAAGAAACAAATCATGACCTATAAGCTCTCCATACAGCATCAGTTATAGAATTTCTCATATTTTCTCCTAAACGAGTATGTTCTTCATCATCATCCTCGTCTATATGGTCATCTCCATGTTGTTCAAATACACTTTGGTTAGGAATCTAGTCATCCACCTCAACAACCAACTCTTCATCAGGGTCGACCATTATCAAATAATTATGCAAAATGCAACATACTATGATAATCCTGTTTTATATCTTGATTCCACAAGTTAGTTCTGTGCCACTATCAATAATAGGAAACCTTTTTTTTAGAACCCCAAAAGCCCTTTCAACAACATTATGCAAGGACGAATGACGATGGTTAAGTAATTCTTGAGGTGTTCGAGGTTGATTTCTTGAGAAAAATTCTTTCAAGATATTTGTCTTCTAACTCCACTATTGATCGAAGCACGTGATAAAAATGCCGACTAGTGGTCTCACTAGAGCATCGAAACCAGAATTGAACCTCTCAATTTCTAACATTATGTGTTAGAATATAGAGGGTTTTGGCAACTTGATCCTCTATACTTACCTATTGGGTTGATTGGAGACCACCCTCTCGTTGTAACATTGCACATAAGTCCAAAAAGGCTATAGGCCTCATTCTTATTATTTTACGACCTTCGCTACTAGCAATTCACTTCATTATTCTTTCTCGTGCTCTCACTTTCTCCAAAATCATCATACGATCAACTATCCTACTTTGAGAATGAATTTTAATCATGTAGTAATAAACTACAAGGCATATGACAAGAACAATAGCCATTTGACGTCTTTCTCTCCATATAAACAATGCAAGATTTATCTTTTCTCCTAGATTATCCATCTTTGGTTGAAAATGGGCACTTTACATGTAGCAACAATGTTGATGTAAGTATGAAAGATGAACCTTTTAATTCAACCCTACTTAGTTATACCAACAATTCATGGCAGCACATGCATAATCCTCCTAGTAATAGGTAACATAAACCTGGAAAACTTGAGTATTATCATAATTTTTGTAACACAACTACATCTGCCCACTTAATCAAATGCATTCATGACTGTACAATTTTAAGGTTTGAGGTACACTAGTTGCCATAACTGTTTCACTTATCTCCATAATATGGACAAACTTAACTAATTATGCTAAGTTTGAAGTGTAAAGCAATCAAATAATTTAAAGTCAATACTTTATTGCAGCATACTCACGTAAATAACTATTCAACTTTATTAGGGCCAAGACAGATGTCATCTTAGAGCAATGTTCATATTAGATTTTGGATATGTATAATGCAATGATAATTTAATCGCAATATGATAGATCCAAAATAGCTCAACCATTTGATGCCAAGTAGCTAACTCAATCAGGAAATTTGTCTAGATATAAAAGTTGGACCTACTATAGTAAATCAATTTGACTCGGGTCAGTGACTAATGAATATGAGAAAATCTAATTCACAGTAGTATTGCAGCAATTTACAAAGCTATATGTAGGAATAATGACTTTTACTTCAGTGGGATAATTTTTACTTTGGTAAATTATACAACTTGTAATATATAAGCATAGATTTCACAGTGCCAACTCGTAAGCTAAAAGTATAGATGGTAGTAGTCATTGGTAAATGTGTTTTGTTTATTTGTAGAGAAATAACAGACTCTAAATCATCATTCACATAGAAGTAGCCACTAATATCTATACCATTCTATACTATCATAGAAAGGGAATTCTCTCACGTCGTCTCTAATTCTTACTTTTCCCAAAAGTCAATTGTTTTGTTTTTACTATAACTATAAGGAGGGGAAATTGTCAATTCAAATTAACCACAAAAGTTCACCACTTACACCAACTTCCTACTTTTCATAAACGTTTCTTCTAAATTATAATTTTTTTCATATATCTCAATTTGAAAAGCAACAATACTCTTTAGCCTAATATATGCAATTTTCAAAGCATTAATCATAAGAATATTTCCACAAAGAATGGTGTATAGTCGTTGTTGAGTTATGAAATTCTCTTAAAACAACACTTGCAAGATAGGCATACAAGTATACAACTCTAGGCTCTTAAACTCCAAAAGTCCTAGTTAAAAGTGTCAATGAATTGGTACCATAAATAAGGTCTAAACTAGTTGACGGACATGCATTGCAAAACATAGGAATTCTAGGCTCCGATGCAAAGTGTAGTGACCATTGCTGCCACAAATAAAATGTCAAACAAGATATTATTAAAATAGTAAAAGAAAGCCATTTTGGCTCAAAATCTTCAGTTTCTGACAAAGTAAGTGAGTGATGCACAGTTTTATACAAGAAGATCCACTTCAGATATAAATATTAATCGTGTCACTTAACATTTTTCTAAATAATAATATTAATAAGAAATGCTTGTTACCTCTAGGGACTCAAGAGTTATAAAATAAATGCCATGTGCATGCACAAAATGCTCCACCAAGTAGAGGTACCTAGAACAAAAAAATAGAAATACTACACTATTTCAAATTGCTCTTAATTCAAAGCAATATTTAAAAGTCTAGCAGCAATTATCAGATAAAAAAAATTATGAACCAAAAGAAATACTACAGTATTTTATATTACTCTTATTTCAGTTTAAAAATAGAAATAAGAGTTGATGCTGACTAATATTTCACAATGAAAACAACACACTATAACAATGGTAAGGACCATCTCTACTTGAAGCTTTCACTCTCCATGATTCAGATCATACATCAAACAATTTGTGGGGACACACTCTCAAATATCACTCCATGATTCAAACCATACATCAAACAGTTTGTGAGCACACACTCTCAAGTAGTATCAGATCGATGGGCAAATTTACATGATTTAGAAGGGATTGAGAAACCAATAAAATAAAACCCATTTTGTACCAAAAAAAAAGCAACTACCTAAAACAAGCACCGAATAAGCATAACAAGAACGAGCACTAGAAATCAAATCTTTTTCTTTAGCGATGAATCCGTGCAGTGTTGGGTCAATCCACTTCGACGGTGCTTCCCCCAATTGCTCACACTGAGTAATCAAATCAGCAAAAAGCGAGCTCTATATTTATTTGTGCAAATTTTTTTTTGAAAAAATATGAGTTAGAATAACACAAAACAAAGAATCAAAACCTTTGGTAACCGAGAAAGAATAGAAAAAGAGAAAGAAAAGTTTTTAAGTTTGATGTCAACGTACCTAGCACGGACAAGCTGATTTTTTGAAATTTTGCGTGTGGGACAAGTGTCCAACACGCTCGGACACGCGTCCGACACGCGGTCAACTTTTGGGGACACGCGATCAACTTCCCGACACGTTTTGACACGCTTTTTCGACACGCAGTCAACTTTGTCCGACACGCGGTCAACGCTTGAACACGTTTTTTTTTTAATCTTAATTTTATTTTGTTAATTAAATATAAAATAAATAATTTATAAATTAATTTTTTTCTGTTATGAAATTTGACATGAAAAATTAACAAAGTACGAAAAATATTTATATTTATATTTATGTTATGAAATTTAAATATTTGATTGATTATATGACTTATTATGGACTCTTATATGTATTAAATATAAATTATATTATATATATTAAATTTTTTATTTAATATCAAAACGTGTCGAAATATGACATTTTTTAGAATTAACGTGTTGGCATGTCGTGTCATGTCGTGTCCGTGTCCGTACATCATAAATGTCAACGAACTAGTGTTCACATTTGGAGGTTAAAAAAGAAAAAGGAAATTGGAAAGAGAGAGAGAGAGTTTTATTTTTAAAGAGGGTAAATAAGTAACTAGATTATTGTACCTCTTAAAACCCCTATATTGTGGGAATTTTACTTTTAAGAATAAGAAGGATTTATGAGAACTTTGTGAAAATCTCTAATTTCCTCCCTTCCACTTTTTTAAACTAACAAACAAAGGAATGTACCATCAAAACATTCTCTTCCCTCCCTCCAAACAACAACTCCCAAACATATAGCCTTAGAAAAAGGTTGACACTTAGTTTATGGGATGCTAAACCATAATTATGTTTTCTTCCTACTCCTTAAGGGCGTTTGGTTGAGGAGAAATATTATGAATGATAGAGAAATGTTATGTATAGGAAAATGGGTGGGAAGTGAGATTGGTAGGAAAATGTAAGAAAAAGTTGTTTGGTAGAAAAATATTTTACTGGAAAAATTAGATAAGTTTTGTAAAATCTATGTTTGACTTTTGGTAAAATATAGATGGGAAAAAAATATGATATTACAAAAATATCTTTTTTTTAAAATGACGAAACAGCCTTGCTGGCCTTTATGTTAAAAATATCCCAACGGTCATTTGCAAATCGTGTGTGTAGGCAACGTCCATATGTTAAAAAAAGGAGAAAGTCTGTCTTTGCAAGTGTCGAGTTTTTCCGGTGAGCAACCATCAGAAGCGGCACCACTGACCTTGTTCCAGACAGTCACAGTGTTCGCATACAAAAAAGGCGGAGGTGAAAGAGAACACAATCAAGTCATCAATGGAACACAACCTGCAATCTCTAGCACACTTACAATCAAGATTGGAAGCAGCAGCAAACAAGGTGAAGAGTATTATGATCTATACGAGTATTCTGATGACACTGCTGATACAAAGCTCAAATTTGTGACATGTGTTCCAGTTCCTGAAGCAGCTCCTCCATGCATCTCATTCTCATTTCCAGTCCCTAGCCTTTGCAAAAGGTCCTGTTTCCCCTGCTTCCAATGCCAAACTCAGAAGCTGTGATGTTTACATTGGATTTCATGGAAAAAGTCCCAACTTGGTGCGCTTCTGTAAGTGGCTTAAGTCTGAGCTTGAGCTTCAATGGATTGATTGCTTAGTTGCTGATAGAGCAAAGTATTCAGATAGTCAAAGCCATGAGATTGCTGATAGAGTCATTTGCTCGGTGGCATTTGGATTGGTGGTTGTTACAAGTTCAAGCTTCCTCAATCATTTAAGCATGGAGGAGGTTAGATTCTTTGCTCAAAAGAAGAACTTGATCCCTCTCTTATTTGACATAGGACCTGATGAGATTATGGCTCTTCTTAACTGCAACTCAAATGATAAAGAATGTCAAGACGCAATTGATGGACTCATGAAGTGCAATGAATTCAATCTAGAGGCTAATGCTGGTAATTGGAGAAGTTGCATATCAAAAGTTGCTGGTATTTTAATAGCAAGACTTGGTAGGAAGAATCCTGAAATGAAGGATAATATGCAAGGATTTGAGAATTTACCTTTCCCAAGGAACACATACTTTGTTGGAAGAGAGAAGGAGATTATGGAGAATGAAGGTCTATTTTTTGGACATGGGAATTGTATGGAACAAGTCCAAGATCATTGTAGGACAATGATCAAAGGAGAAGCCAGTGGCAGTGGTCAATCTGAAGGCCTTGCAGATGAGGAAAGTGAATCAGTGATAGGTAGAGGTGGTGGGAGGTATATTAGTCTACAGATGGGGAGGAGCAAAGAACCAACTTTTGAGGCTTGGGTTGAACCAATCATAGGGAACAATTCATTGAAGAGGTTGAAGAATAAGAAGTCAAAGAGTTGAAACTATAAGAGCTTGTGTAGTAGTGTGGTTTGCATTAATGGAGTTTCTGGTATTGGGAAGTCTGAGCTGGCACTGGAATTTACTTACAGATATTACCATAGGTACAAAATGGTCTTGTGGGTTAGTGGTGAAGCTAGGTATCTTAGATAGAACATATTGAACTTGTCTCTCAACTTGGGATTGGATGTTGGTGCTGATTCTGAGATGGAAAGAGGTAGAATCCGTAGCTTTGAGGAGCAAGAATTTGAAGCATTCAAGAGAATCAAGAGGGAACTGTTTGGTGAGACACCTTACTTACTGATAATTGATAATCTTGAGACTGAAGAGGAATGGTGAGAAGGGAAGAATCTATATGACTTAAAACAGATTTCAGCTTGTTATTCAGATTACAAACACTGCAGAGTATATGAAGTTCACACTGTTTAGGATTTCTTAATCATAAACTGGTTACAGACAAAGTCCTTGAGTTGAAAAAAATTATATTGAGGTTTAGACTTTATTAGCTGAAGACAAATGTGTACATGGTGGCTTTTATTTTTTTTATTATATAGTGTGTTAATGATAAATAAGTTTCAAATGATCGATTGACATTGATTTTTATAACCTCCATTCAATATAAGTATGTTTTCTATCCTTTTTCTGCAAGTCAGCCTCGAAGAGAAGGGTTTGGGCTTCCTTCAATTATATAGAACAAACGGAGTAAAGCTAACTAAACCCTGAATACATCACATTTACAGGCATTGTATGTATAGCAACTTGTGAAGCACCAAAGTACATTTTGTAATTTTACAACGAAATACAACTGCCTGCATTAAACCAGGTCCATATTCAGACATACTTATACAAGGCTGGAACCCAAACTATTGAAAATGTTCACACTCATGACTTCGATAATTACATAATTACATGTGGCTGTAACACAATATACAAGGAAATGGTCAGGCCTTGCCCAAACAGGGATCCCTCCTTTGCTGTTTCCATATTGGAAGACAATATCAGTTACCATCTGGAACTTGGTAGTTATGTCATTCAATAGATCCTCATGAAGCAAAAAACCCTTGACTTCGATCACCCCATTGTAGTCCATGATTCCTTGACTGTGTAGCCTATGTAGCCTCTTAAAAACACTGTCAAAGCAGAGAAAATTAAATTCCAATATAGACATTATAGAAAGAACATTAAGTACAGGATATGGTAACTCATATAAAAAATTGTGTGCTGTACTCTTCATAGTCAGTATGTACAGCAACGAAATATTTCATGCAATTAGATTATCTGCATTGTCATGTATGATGTACCAATTCTATTAACTATTGTCAACTAATAGTCATGAAATTGTTAAATTATTTGGTATCTTTGTTGAAGGAACTGTATTATTGACAAGAATGCAAAGATCGGGAAAGATGTCATCATCACGAACAAAGATGTAAGCATGGCTACTACTGTATCTGACCATGTTTTTCCTTTTGAGGCCAGTTGCTTCAATTAGTCGTTTTCTGTACCATTGCTGTTGTGTAACACCTACCATAAGTATCGTACTTATGTCTTACCAACTGAAATACTTTCTCTATAGGGCGTTCAAGAAGCAGATAGACAAGAAGATGGATTTTACATTCGTTCAGGTATCGTCATCATAATGGAGAAGGCAACAATAAAAGATGGAACTGTCATATAAATGGTTAGTGCTTATCTCTCGGGTTGGTTGCCCAAAGTGCTGAGAAGAAGCATTCTGAGGAACACTCTCTCATCTTTGGGAACTGTCATACAAATTTTTTCTTTCTTTCAAGGAGACATTACACTTTATTCGGGTACCAATGAGAATCATGGTAAATATTAACAAATTAGAGATGCAGCCAGGCAAGGGCACATGATCAAATACTCATTGAAGATGCTTAAGAAACAGAGACTAATCGGAGAGGCTGACCACCACAGATGACGACAAACAACAAACGTTCAGTATAGGCTCTGTCGGACACCATTGGTTCTCGGCACCACCCTCTTCTCCAACCACAAATGCGAAGTAATAACAACACTGATGAAAATAGTTAGCTCAGATCTGAAGGAGAAATCTCAGGTTCAAGACCGGAGTAACTTTTTTCACCTACATGCAAGGCTTGAAATTAGCAGTTAACACCATGGATGAAGGAAAAAAACGCAATATTTGTGTGGAAAATACCGAAAAACACAGACGATTTTTTTTCCCACCGACTTACCTCCCACGAACCAACCTTCATTCTCACTAATGGTTTCTTTTGGGAATCAGACCACAAAAAGGAAGATGCTGAAGACTATCTTGCTTCTCCATTTCGCTTGCAAGTTTCCGTCTTCCTCTGTGCGGTCTTTGGAAAGTGAAAACTCAACAGAGGTAGTCAGCAATTTGGTCGAGCTTTTCCATTCGCGCGCTTAATTTCAGGGGTACGCTCGTCTTTCAACAAATAACACAATATTACCAAAACATAGATAACTGCAAATACCTCCTCACTAGAGGGTTATTTTGACCGGCTATCTGCCTTAAAAGTCATGGAGAAACTGGTT